AAACAAAGAGAAATCTTTCTTTTTGAAATTTTATACGATTATATAATCCTGAATTTTAATCAAAATTTAATTAATCCTTCTCATTTGCTATTTAACATCATAACCGAAATATAAATAATACCCTAAATTAAGGGTAAAATAAAATTTATCCTTTCAAATTTTAATAATTTTATTGCATAAACATTTTTACGATAGAATGTAATTGAAGCTATTGTTTTGTAAGTACAATGAAAAAAAAAAAAAATTATTTTCGTGAAAATTTTTAATTAAAATTAAAAAATAACATCAAAATTAACCGTTGTTTTTCAACGAAATAAAATGATAAAATGAAAAAAAAAAATTTTTTGTTTTTTTTTTTTGCTAATAAAAATTTTCAGGTTTTTCTCTTTTTTTGTCAATTAGTTATATCTAAAATTTTCAATAAATACATTTTTAAAAACAAGTTTTTTGTTCCTTTTTTTTTTCGCAATTTTATGAATTATTTCGAAATAAAAATAAGAAGTTAAAAATTTTCTCACATTTACCACTTCCATATATATGTTGTAAACTTCTTATTACACTGTTACAAGTTGCGATAATTGTCAAATCTTTTTTTTTATTTTTATTTTATTTTATTTATTTTTGTTGTTGTTTATATTAAAAGTATCATTATTATTGTTAATGATGTTTGATGCTATCGGTAATTTCTTTTGATAAAAATGTAAAATAAAATTTTAAAATAAGGGACATTTTTAATGGTTTAATTAAGCAGAGGAATTATTTTTTTTTCGCCAGATTTTTTAGAATTGTCTAAAATTTTTGAAATATTTTTTTTTCAAATTTTGAAATTTCGTAGTTTTATTAGTAATAATGCTAAAAATTCTTTCAAAATTTTCAAACAAATAATTTTGTCAATTCAAATATTGCACATAAATTTTTGTAATCAATTTTAAAAAAAATGATAACATTTGATAGTTATCAGTAGTAAAGTTAAAATTTATCATTTTTATAAAAGTAAGTCCAGAATATGATAAATAGAGCGGTTAAAATTAATAACTGATAATTAATAAGTGGATGATATAATAGTGGTTATTAGAACTTACATACCTGTAAAGCTACCGTATTATCATCGTATTAATATAATAATATATGATATGGTATTATAATAACTGGTAATTGATAAGGAAATGACAAACGTATAATATTGCTATTTTAATGTTATTTAATTATCAATTAAATTATTCAATTATCATTCCAGATGGTCATTCACCCAGTTCGATCACTAGCGGTGATTGTAAAGCAATTGATCCAAATGATAAAAAATTAGCTGAAAATATGGTTAAAAATCATCTTGTTGTACCAATTGAAGATACTTCAAGCAGAAAGCTCTTATCAATTGATGATATCACTAAAGCTGTTGGTACAGGTTGTGTACCAAAGGTAATTCCAGTTTTAAAAATTTTGTTCTAAAATTTTTAAAATTTAAATTTTATTTTAAAAAATCCCTAAATAGTTTTTTTTTTTAATATTTTAGCTTACTGAAGTTGATTGTGCTCGTTCATTATGCTATCATTTGTTATATCGAAGTTTTGATGGTGTTTGTAATAATCTAAATAAACCATTACTTGGTGCTGCCTTTAGACCATATTTCAGGTATTGTTACGATTAATTTATACTTTTTTTACAATTCAATTCATTTTAAATTTAAATTAAAATTATGCAAATTCCTTACGTCCAACATGTTGCAAGAAATAGTTAATTTTAACAATGCAACTTTTGATAAATAATTCGAAAATTTTGAATAAAAACTTTTAAAAAAAATGAAACTAAAATTTAATTTTTTTTTAATAAAAATAAAGATTTAAAAAGTTTCAGTAAAAATTTTTCTCAATTATATTTTAAATAACACAAACTTGTGTTATTTGCTGATGTAATTAATTGAATTTTAGCAATAATTAAAATTATTTTTCTTTGTAATTCCAAAAATTTGAATTATACATCAAAAATTAAATTTTTTTTTTTTTACCATATAAATCTAATTGCTAACAATTTGTAGACATTTACCAGCCGAATATGATGATAAGATATCAGAACCTGTCTGTAAGTTTCAATTTTTCTATCTTATTAATTAAAATTTATTAGCAGTGATTTTGAAAATAATTATCAATTTTAATCATAATATACTATCAAATATCCATTATCATAATTTTCGTTTTTTTCTCAAAATAAAATAATAAATGTTTTCCTTTTCATTTATTTTCATTTTTTCACTGTTAATTCATTTCATTTCTCTATTCATCATTCTCTCTTCCTATCTTCTCTTGCTTTTTCTTATCTTTTATCATATCAATTTATCATTAAAAAAACCTCTAAGTTTTTTCTTTTTTATGACAAATTCTTGAGAAATGCTAAAAGAAAAAAATTTGCACCAAAAAAAATTGGACAAAATTTTGTTATTTCAATATCCTAAAATTGAGAAGACTGAATTTAAATAAGACGAAACTTGCTACTGATAATATTAAATCATTTCGATAATACTTTTAAATAGCATATCGAACTGATCAGTGATAAGATGGAGGATGAAATGACAAACATTTTTGTAGCTTCTTCTTCTACCTTTTTTTGAAAATTTATCAATTAACAATTTAAAGATTCTGAAATAGAGCATGTTCCGTTTAAGAAATAAGAAACCAGTTAATTTTATTCATACAAATTAATTGCAAAATTTTGTTTAGTTATCTGTAATTTAAATCGTAATTAGAATAATTTAAATATTAGCATTTTCAAAATATCAATAGAAAATGCAACATCAAAATATATTGCTAACCAAACCTATCAATAAAAGACAATATCAAAATATCAGCAGTTTTGCTTATTAAAAATTTTCAATTTAAATTTCAAGAAATTTTCATAATTTAACAACAGCAACAACAACAACAAC